ATAATAATAAATTAATAGCACCGTCGAACCACTAGATGGTTCGGCGAACCTGGCTTAGCAGGTAAAAGCAAGCTAATTGACTGGGGCACCATCTGCCGATGGCCTACGCGTACGGCTTCTACCGGCTCGCTAGACGAGCACGCCCGAACCCACCTCACTGCTGAAGGTGACCTGCGGGAGGTGCAGTCTCCGCTTGTCGGAGGCGGCCGTGCCAACGGTGGCGGAGGAGCAGGCGGTGGACGGTCGAGGTTCTGGGGGCGGCGGCGGCTGCTGGCGGAGGCTGGCTGGCGTGCCGGGGGCGGCGCTGGGGCCACTGAGGCCGATGGGGGTGGGGGCGGCCACGGCGGTGGCCACCTTGGAGAGCAGCGCAGAAGAGGTGGAGGCCGAGGAGGGCACCCCGGGCTTGGTCTTGCCCACGGAGCCTACCGCTGGCGTGGACTTGGACTGGGGGACCATGCCGTTGGGGCTGAGGCGGCGGTACACCTCGAGGGTCAGCTGGTTGCCGCACGATCTGTGGAGAAACGAGTTTGAGGTTATATGATGCAGTCAGAAAAGTATACGGCTATCAGAAAATGGCGTACTTGAAACATGTCACGTACCTAATGAGCTGCAGCACATCCTCCTCGGGGACGGTGACGACGTTGTGCTTGTCGACAAAGATGATGTAGTCCCCGGGGCGGATGCCGGCCTGCTCGGCGGGCAGCCCGGGCTCCACGCGTTCGACGCGGGGCGGCTGCGTCCACGCCACGGAGAAGCCGAAGCCCCCCGCGGGCGCGCGCTGCAGCCGGCGCGTCGACGTGAAGGGCGTGCGGCCGGGCGGGCGCGGGGTGGCCGCCGGGTGCACCGGCAGCGCGGGGCCGTCGGCACCCTCCAGCTCCAGGTGGCGGAGGAAGGTGCTGTCCTCGCTGCGGTCCACTGGAGGAGGAAAAAGGGAGTACGGCGTTAGTCTACATCACCATGGGAACCAACATCGTCGGAACGAGGAGGAGGTTGGCATTTCGTCGTCAGTTGAAGACCTCGTCACCATGACAGACATCATTGCGACGGCCACGATCTTATTCACGACGCACACATCACGCAGGCTGAGACGCTCACCTGTGGCGGTGGTGGTGGGCGCGGCCGCGGCCACGGACTCCATCGTCCTGCTCGAGTACATGACCCTCCGGCGGTCCGCCCGGTCCCCGTCCGAGTGCTGTTCCTCATCTGACGCCGGTTGCGGGAGCGCCTGGTGGTGCTGCTGCTGCTGCACACCGTCGACGGGCACGTTCTGGTTGCGGCCCGCGCTCTGCGGCAGCAGGCGGAACGTGCCGCTCACCTCCTTCTTGACGGCATGCTTGACGGCGAAGGACATGCATCCCAGGAACTCGCTCCTCCTGGAAAACACAAGAGAGAAGGTCGAAATGAAACCCTTTTTGTTCGGAGCAAGAGCAAGAGCGGGTACAGCGCCGGTACCGCTGGCTGTCAGTCAACCCCCCTCTCCCTCGCTGCGCGGTCGTGGCCTCGCAGTGGGGCTTCACCCGGGTCACCCCCCCCCTCCTCTCCTCGTCGCCGTTTAGCGCCTCTAGACACGTGCAGCCCTTGCATTCAATGTCGCGGAAAAACGCATAGAAAAAAGAGAACGTAGGCCGGCGTAGGCCCGGCTGGAATGAGCCCTACATTCCGACCACGTGCTGGGGCGGGGGCGTGGCGTGGCGGGGTGGGGCGAGGTGGGGCG